GCCAGGATTTTGGAACAGCGGTGTTGTGTAGTTGAAGATTTATAGAATGGGATGAACATTTTCTGTTGCAGAGAAAGTTAGAAGAAATGCAAGGCAGTGGAGTCTTGGCTGTACTCCTGTGCTGCATAATGATGGAGAGCAATAAACTCTTGGGTCCTTGGGTCTACAACCAGAAAAAATCACCCCTCTGTTCATCACAGGCCACCATCAGTTCTGCACAGGCTCCAAGTAGTTTACATCTTAGCTTGTCCCACCTATTCTGTGCAAATATTTTTAAACATTTGGTTCCCCTTGTCCTTTGAGCCATAAGGACTTAACATATGTGTTGGCTTTTATGAGGTAGATGATACCCAAGCCTTCCTGGTAGCCACTAGAATATAATTTAAGTCCACACATACGCATTTTCTTCTAAAGGATGAAATGGCTTTTTGTCACCCCTTAATTCCACATCCAAGGGTAGAAAATGCGAGGTTTTTTTCTCTGTGAGCTGGATGGACATCAGAGACTTTTCTCTCTCTTTGGGTCTCACAACCCTGCTTTGAAATGTCTTTTAAAGAGATGAAAAGGGTGTAGTTGTAGCTTTAAAACCATGAACTTTGCACGTACTGAAATAAATGGTTCTCCCTTTTATTCTGAGGATCAGGTTGAGATAATACACAGAAGCAAAAAAAAATATGGATGTCTTCTATTTTATTGTTTCCTGACGTTTCCCTCCCCCTTTCTCCTCCCTTAATTTATTTTTGGGGTCTGGAAAGAAAAGCATGCTGAAAAGCCCCAGTGTATTGATGTGTGAAATTGAAGGAGTTACTCATTCTTATGATCCAGCCACTGTGCCCTTTGACAGGGTTAACATTAAAAGAAATATACTAGAAAACATGCACCTAAGTATGAAAAATGCCTTAAATTCAGGGTGTGTTCGTACAAAGTGAAGTTTTTGCAGTGTGGAAATCATTAAACCTGATCCAGAAAAAATGTGAGGTGCCCCAGCCATTGAGATGTGAATCTCTTTAATCCGCACAAGCATTAGAAAAATCTGAAACATGTGAAAGTTCAAAAGCTGCAAAGCCATTACATGACTTCTCATTCATTTCTCAAATATTGTAACTTTCTATTGAACTGTGAAAAGACTTTTTCTTGTATTTTTTTTTTCTTTTCATAACCAATAGATCAGTCACTCACTAATGTGTTACTGCACATTGCGAATTTGAAAGTGAGTTTCACTTGGTTATATCTACTTGGATATAATTTATTGATTTATTTTAGAGCATTTATGTAGCATTTCAATAGTTGGTAACTTACACCTTTTCAGCAGTTGCTTTTTGAGAGGGGGAAAAAGGCAAAACTGAGTATTTTTTTAAATTTTTTTTTGAGATCCCAATCAATTTCACTGCAAATTTAGAGGTAATCTTAAAGACTAGCTCTAAATTTGCATGAGTATGTATGCATGCTAGTCAAAACCCAACCCAACCCAAACAGAAGTTTAACAAAACCAAAGTAACACAAAATGCTTTTTTTCATCTTAAGTGTACAGCTCTGAAATATACCAAGAAAACCTTCAAATTTGGTGAAAACTTATTTCAGAGAAAACCGTAAATTACTTTTTGTGAAGGGACAGACTTGGTTTGTAACAGAAATGCTCAGCTCAAGGAAACCTGCAACAACCTTCTAAAGTGCACGTATATTTAGCTCCAAGGACTAGACTATTCATGCTTGGTCCCAGACTGTTGTCCTGCAGCAGCCAAACCTCCTGCAGAGGTTTGGGCAGTCTGGTAGCTCTGGCTTTCCCTCTATGGGAGTATTAATTTGTTTTGCAGTTGCAATTGTAGTATTAGGCTTATTTTTGATTCCTTTGCCCTTTCTGTGGTCTGTTAGAGCAGCCCTAAAGTTTTCAAATAGTTGTCTCTGAGTGGGGTATGAGTTGTGCTTTAGGCTGTTTGCTTAAATGGAGTACTTGTTGAGATAAAGTTGCTGGGAAAGAGGTGGGGGGAGCCCTATGTCTAATGATTTTGTTCAAGGAGCTGCCAGGGATGTACTCTTACACTACAATGTCTGAAACTATAACAGTTCTTCATGTATGGGTTAACAGGCTTTCTTAAGGGTAACAAGAATAGAAAGTTTCACACTGATTTGCCATTTGAAAATCAGCCACAAATTTTTGTCAGTGAAACTCCTGTGAGAAGACAGTATAGTGATTTAAAACAGTTGGAGTTGTTTTTTAAAGTGGCAGGAAACTGTAGAAGCTGACAAAGAGTCTTTTTGATTCCTCTCCACACAAAAAATGTCTACCCTTAAAAAGACAGGGAGAGGCCTGTTTTCCACATGAAAATAGTTGGTAATCTGACTTTCACTGACTTGCCAAAAGATGTATCAGAGGAGCTGAGGTAATTTCTGAGGTGGCAAAACAGGAAGGTGCAAGTGGGCTAGAGATGGGAGTGACTGCAAGAGCAAACGGCAAGGTCAGCAGAGAATCCCGGGTTCTCTGGAGGAGACCACATTCTCAAGCAGTACTCATCATTTAGAGTTATAAAACCTAAGTAAAACAAATGTCTCAAACCTGAGCCAAGACCCAAAGAGTTTAAAGGTAAACATTAGATAAGAATTAACTGTATTAATTCTGTCCTTTGCTGCCGAGGCCTCACAGCACAACAAAGGACTATTGATCAAAAAGGTCATGTAGAAGAGGGCAGGGTTTGAAGAAACTGAATTAAAAAAAAAAAAGAAAAAG